TCCTAATATCATATTTCTGGTTATTTAGCATAATCTTTTAAGAGTAATTACTGAGAATTCTTGTAACTTTGATAGGACAAATACATATTTTTATCATCTAGAATTGTTAGGGCATTATTTTAATTTACTTTTTTAAAATCAATTTTTGTTTGTTTTAATTATTTATTATGTTTTACTTATTATTTTATAGTTTTTTAAAATAATTAATAAGATTTTTTAAATTTTTTTAAAACACGCTTCCATTTCAAATATGTTTTAAATGAAACTTTATTAAAATTGATCATTTTTTTTAATTTTTAAGGCATAATTTTTGAGAGACACTTTTTAAAAATAATTACATATTTAGAAGTCGAGTTGCTAATAATTATTCCTAATACAATTATCAAATAGCAAAAAAAGAAGAAATAATCTACTATTATTTGAGAAATTTCTACCAAGATTTGAGCTGATGGATTTTAAATTTATATAAGTCTTAAATATATTTTCAAAAATATAAGAGAGTAAGCTGCTTTTTCGCATTATTGTATGTTTATTGAAATAAAAGGATTATTTTGTGAAACTATCTTTATATAAAAAAATAAGACTACACTTATTGTCACTATAGCAACTTCTTGGTTATTATTATTATTTAAAAGAATATACACATAGATTATTGTAATTTTTAGATATATTCTAACAAATTCCCAATAGTAGTACTTATCCTTTAGTTCTGCATAGTAATAGCCATATTTATATTTCGTCAGACATTAATTTAATTTTTTCTTGTTTAAATTAATCAGTTTTAGAAATGCTAAAGGAAGAAGAGTCCAAAAAATTAACACCATTACAGAAAAAGGATATAAATATTTAATTACATTAGAATCATAGCAGTCAAATGAAAGGTCTAATGAGTTATAAAGTTTGTTTCCTACTTGTTTACAGGTTAGTGATTAAATAAAATATGATATCTAGTTCACTTAGAAAAAGACAAAAATAATATGAAAAATTAAATAAATGTGATATTTTCTTATTTTCTATTTTGAAATGTCTTAATAAAACATAAGTGTAATAGGAATAAAAAGAAGAAAAACCATAGGGACGAAAAACTAAGTTAACATAAAATAGAGTATCTTGCCTATTCCTCTAATGATATTTTCACTCATAAGACAGTCAATTCCTAAGGAGACTTGGATACCACCGGATCCAATTACATCATTAAACAAATTAAAATGGACAGAAATAATCTTGGGCTGAGGAATTAAAAGAGCAGATAATTAATAATAGGTCAATATAATTTTAATATAGAATCCAGAATAGTCATTTATGCTATTACTGCTTATTGGCATAATTTTTAACATTCTCAAATAATAACATGTTTGTGAATGTTTAAATTTTTGGATGAAAACTCCCAAAGCATACAAGAAGTAGGCCTCTAAAATTACAATTTTTAAAAGCATAAAACCCCATTATTTAAGTTATGATCCACAAATATCACAAAATCCTTTTGAGAGAGATTGTGAATATCGGTAGCCTTACCAAACTTCACCTAAAATATCACACTATAGGCAAATAGGTCCTAGATACCCAGCTTTACAGTAATTGATGCTATTAGGGTTTTCTGCCTAGCATGAATTTATAATAGGATCACACTCTATTATTTCATCTGTGTAATTATTGTGCCTCCAAAAACCATTTTTTAATTCTATTATATCTCCTTTGCACATTAAAGCAGACTATGGGCAATTGATGCATTTATTGATATCTTTATTTTGTTAAATAGATTACTGATAAAGTGTTTATGGGTCTACTAGCTGATAAGTACCCTTCAAGCATTAATTGCATTAAAAAATGTTATTATTCACTTATTAAATGACCTCTCCTAATTTACAATTTCTGAATTCTATCGATAAAAGGATTGGTTATTTAGTAAGTGAGTTTGTTTATATAGTTGAATTAATATAAAAGAATTGAACTTTATTAAGATTTCCAATAACTGTTATTTCATTCATTTCAAATGAATAGTCGAGAGAATTATATTGAAAGTAATTTATAGTATTCTATCCAAACATTTAGCTTTCAGTAGAATTGAGCTAATAAATTGAAATTTAAATAGTATTTAACTCTTAATCTATATCATTTGGGTATAAGCCTAGCGTTAGCTTTTCATTTGAGAAGCTCAGATATCTATTTTATTCATCTACAATATACATTTTAAAGTTAATTAGCCCTCCACTTCTGAATTATCTCAATTCAGCATATCTTGAATAGTCATTCTAAAATTTTTTAGGTACACTACTTTAATTTTAGTAAAATGTGAACAATTCTTCATTTGTACTATCATTGCTTTTAATAATTATATTTTAGAGATAAGATGTACTATCATCACCATAAATCTCTGCTTTATTTTCGAAAATATTATTGGAGAATGGAAAATTTTAAGGCAATAAAAGCTTTTTTTAATTTGTCTAAACGATTCTTAATCCACCTCCTATTAATGCTTTATTATTCTTAATCATAGTCACCGTATCAAATTAAATTATACAGTTATCAATATTTTCAAGATACAATGCCCCTCCGCTGCTATTAGCAGTATTTTGCTAGAAAAAGGACTCTTTAAATTATATCTTTGTCTGAATTGCTAAAAAGTAAATAGCTCCTCCATTTTATGCTGTATTCAATTTAAAATGGCCTTTTTCGATAATAATTTCTTAGGATTTGGTCAATAAAAGCGAACCTTCATTTTAAACTTGAGTAAAATTATTAAATTAAACTTTAGAACTTTAAATATTCATGATTTATTACTACAAAAATTTGTTTAACTCAACTTTAAAACTATTTAAAAATAAAATATCATCATTTAATTCTATAATTTGGTTTGGAGTGGAATATTCGTTTGTGGAAAAAATTAGAACTAATTAGTTGTTAAATTGAAACAAGCAATTCGTAAGAGTTATAGTACTACAACCATAAAATGAAAATAATCCTTAAACTTATTAGATTTAAATCTATTAAATATTATCTTTAATTGTTAGGTTATAGAGGGTTAGATTTTAAACTTACTAAAAACTCATCAAACTATTCAAGTTAATATTTTATATCATAGTAACCCCATCAATTAGAATAGTATTTATTAATTCAAATTAGAATATTGATATCTGAGATTTCTAATAAAAATTATTGTTTGATATTTCTAGGTTGTAAATATAAATTTCTGAGACATTGTAAAAATAGAACAAAGAATTTTACTGATCTTATTAGGAGCATTCTTTAAGATTGAGTTAAGATATTTTAATATTTTAAAAAATTACTTTTTCAATGCCAGAAATATATATTTGATTAGTGCCAAAGCATGCAAAATCAATATCCATATTTTAAAAAATTATTTGTTGTGTTATTTTGTTTTAAGTAATGTTGATTAATAAGTCTGTATTATTTTAGAAGGTTAGACTAAAATTAGTAAACTGTAGAATTTATTAGCCAAGGGTTAAAAAAGTATCATTTGAGAGAGCTATAAAGTTATTATCCACATCATAGGGAGCAATTACATATTAACTATTTTTTTACTATGAAATTTATAGAAAAGTATTCTATATATCAGTGGTTGGTACTTATATGTAGAAGTAGATTAGCTAATTTTCTTAATTGATTAAAGAAATTCCATTTATTGTTTGAATTTCTTTTTATTTAATTGCTACATTGGCTTACTCTTCTATAAGATTTTATTATTCTTAAATTGAGATTAAAAAAGAGCATTCTGATTTTGATTCTGGTTTGTAAATTTCTAAATTATAGCTATTTTCAAAAACTCCAGTTTTATGCAGGCCTAGTATTTGAAGTATATTTTTCTCAAATCTGTAATTTAATATTCTAGGATATTAATAACTAATCTAAGCTATCATATTAAATTTATCTCCGTTAACGATAAGAAGTTCAAATCTATCTATTAAAAGAATACCTATGACATTATCTATAAATAGCTTAATGTCTATTATAGTGTCTTTAAGAAAATCTTTTTTGACTAAAGCTACATATTCAATTTTAGTGTTAAGTCTATATAAATTAATTTAAAAACTGCATTAAACAAATAAAAAGTTCTGCTATATTATCAAGTTTGATTGGCTTTTAGGTAAAGGTAAAATTTACTCTAATTAATTTTTTGAGTAATTCCAAACGTAAGCTTTTTTCTATCCATTAAAACAAAATAAATATCTTTGATTATCTTAATCAATTAAAAATTTTGACAAGGTAATATTAGGATCTTGATTAACTAAAGTCCTTAAGTCTATCGATTAAGTCATTTTTTTACTCATAATATCAATTTAAAGAAGCAAAGCATTACTTGAAACAGCATATACTGCATATTAGATATCAGATATTTAAAAGATTTAAATGACAATAATTGAAGCATTTTTAGAATCTTTTGAAGTGGTATTGTAAAAATAAAATTCTTAGCTTACTAAATTATATTAAAGGAGTTAGCCATCACTAAATCCTACAATTATTAAATCTTAATTCTTATTTACACTAAATGAAGTAACTATTTGAGTTATATTAAATTAAATTTTGTTCATGATAGAACCTTTTAATAAATTTAAATGCAAAACTTAATGATCATTAGTAATTACAATATTATCAGTTATAGACTGTTAAAACTGGATACTGTCAAGCTAGTAAATAAAAGGGTCTTACTTTTTATTTTATCTTTATTGGTATTATTAATAGAACAAAATTGAGTCAACTAAGCCTAATATTAAAACATCATTTTTTTAATTGTATTTTATATCTATGACCCTTGAATTTATTGTAGATAACTCAAATTATAGTTTCTGCTGTGAATATCTAAAGAGAATGCCAACTTAATTCAAAATTAAATAATCATTTTATTAGCTATTAATATATAGTTAGGTAAATAAACTGTAAGGTTCATTTAGTTATGGCTCATTTTGTTAACCTAATGAATAATAATCGACTTTGTACATAGTATTTTAAAATGTAAAATAAATATCGTTTGATAAACTATCAAATACAAAGCTACTGGGCTTACAACATACTAAATAATCATATGTTTTAAGATAGCTATAAAAAGGATATTTAGGGTCTAGGGAAGACATATAAAATATTCCATCTTAATCTAAAAACATTACATAATTACTTAAAATTTAATCTGATTAAAATTAGTTTATAAAATTATTATTAGTAAGTGTTTATTTCATAATTATTATTTAATTAATTTCTTTTTTAGCAGTAATATCATATACAGAAACTTATTAGATATTATCTTTTTGCAAAAATACTAAATAATTTAAGCTTTAAATAAATTCTATGCTCTAAAAACTTTTGTATCTGATATGTTTAATCTAATTTTCAATTACTAAATTAAGCCTGTCAATTATAAGTAAACCTAATATTAAATAAAAAGACATGATTAAATTAAAAAATAAAAATGTGATAAATAATTTAAATTAAATCATCTTATATTAAATAGAGGACAAAAATATTGTATTGCTTATAATAGTGAGTTATTGAGAATTATTTAGTAAAATATGCGAAAGCATTTTCAAAAAGTCAAATTGCGAAACAATTTTAAAAAATTTATGCAATCTGAGATCAAAGTTTAATTAATATTTTCTTACATTTGCACTGTGTGCGCTATGTTCATTTTACTATGAACTCAAATTTAGTTTAGTTTATTTTATAAATAATATTTGACAAAATTATATTATTAAATAAACTAAACTCTTATGAAAATTTTAAAAAATTATTTTCATCTAAAAAAGTTTTTAATGATTTAAAATATTTAAAATTAAAAATAAAAATGATTTATTTACTATTATTTTCAGATTCACATAACATTTTTTATGTAAAAACTTTGCAAACATTATTAATTTTCTCAAAAGTCTACTTCAAAACTCCACTAGAACTGTAAATTTTAGTATTATAATTTACAATATTAAAAATATAAATATTTTCAAACTCTTAATCAAAATAGCCTTAATAGTCTGCAGTACCATATCCAAGTTGTATATATTGAGTAAATTTTGACACTTTATGATATATCAAAATAAATCCTTCATCATCAGATAAAAAGCCATTTATGCATGCAATTTGAAGTTTAAAATTAGAACAAGTTAAGTCGTATTGATTTGAATATTTAAAAATTTGTTAAATAATATTCAGCTTAGTATCAAGAATTACAAAGGAATTCGGACCATTAGCTTATACAACATTGTCATTTTTAATAAAATCAAAACTATTTATGTAAAAATCTAATTATTTTACGATATTTTCAGTTATGTAAATATTTATCAAATAAATCATGTTTTCAATTTAAGCAATTATAAAATCATCATAGACTTTAATTATAAAATAACTTATATTTTAACCAAAATTATAAAGAATTTATGAGAAACCAGTCAAAATATCGTATTAAATTAAATTTTATATTCCTTTTAAATATAATTTTCCATTTTTAGAATCTATAATTTAAACTTAATGATCATCTAATTTTAGTAATTAAACAAATTATTTTTAGGTATACTAAGTAAATGTTAATTTAGTAATTCCATTCCCAAAATAACCTATTTAATTTGTTTAAGTATTTTATACATTTTAAATGTAATTTGATAGAAAAGAAGTTTAATTAACTGTGTACATACCTATTTCTAACACAATATTTTATTCAGTATCAATTAAGAATTCTCCAATTTAATTAGTATAAAAATCATATTTTTTATATTAAATTTTCCCACTTTGGTTTACTTATTTTCTAATTTAAGTTTGGCTATTAAATTTAAAATTTGATTTTATTAGATTTTAGGTATTCAATGAGGTATTTATTACAAGGATCCCTTCTTAACCTTGCACAATATAAATTAAATTATCGTTCACTACTTGATTTATTGATATAATATTTTAAATAATTTGTGATTTTATTTAATATATCAATTACAGACTGAAGTTATAAATTTTGAAATTATAGCTTTCATCTATAATTGCTACTTATTCGATAGAAAATTTATTATTAATTTCGTCCTACTAACTAGAAAATGTTTTTGATATTAAGAATTATTTTATATTTGTTATTGTATTAATAAACTAAATACTCTAATCTTATAAGCTTATTTAATATACAGAGACATATAAACCAGATTTATCTTGTATCATAATTTTTAGGTCATTATTTAAATAGAAATTAAAGTTAAAATTTTTAAAGTCAATTTAACAGTTCTTCAATAAAACTTACATGTCAGAGGATTAAACGATTAAACAATTTTAAATAATTGTTACAAGCAAATCGTTATTAGTTGCAAACTGAGTATGTTCGGTGTAAAAAATATTAACTACATTTTTTGTATAAATATCAATTATATATCCTGCATTTGATTCTATAGCAATTATTTTATTGTTGAAGAATTTTTATATTGTCAGCAAATTATTAGAAATTTTTAGTTATTTTTAAAATTTAAGGTTGGTCACTTATGAGTAATCATAAAAATTGATTTCTTAACTTTCATTCAAATAAATTACAAGAGGTGGATAATAGTTTATAATAATAAAGTTTGGCAGTTCAGAAAAACTCCAATTTGAACTTTGTACTAATGCTGTTGAAGGATAGGCTAGATTAAAATTAGTTATTACTTTAATTTGTATTAATTATTTTTGCTACTGTGAAAGATTTTTTTCTTTTTTAATTATTTAAATATAAGTATCGTCTTTAATAAATAACTCATAAATATATTCCGTATTAGACGAACTTAAATTACGATATTTTATTTGGTAGATTTTGTTATTTGTTTTATAATTCAAAACATATTTTTAATTTTACTCAACAAATTTATGTAAATTTGAATCGAAGTAAAAAAATGATAAGTTAACATTATCCCAAAGTACTACTATTTATATTTCATCACCCAATAAATTATTAATTTCAAAGTCAAAGTTGTGTTATTTGAATACGTCAATTGAATCAGAAAAATTTGTTTGAATGTTAGTATAAATCAAATTTTCGTTAGTTCGAACTATTAAATATTAATTAATGTCAGAAATTGAAGATTAAAATATTCTACTTTTTAGAATTTATTATGTATCTTTCAAATCAATTTAGATAGACTTAATTGAATTATTGTTTAAGTTAACTAAATATGCTGTTTTGTCTTAAACTAAAATGTAGAAACCTAGCTAAGATGTGGACAGGATATCAAAATATTAGCTATTTTACTTAGCCTCAAATATAAAATGACTCTGCATTTATAAATTTAAATTTAGTTCATTGCTAGATACAGTTATCTTATAGACTATAATATTAATTAGATTTTGTATAAACAACCATTTATCAATATATTTAAATTTTTGCACAGTTGTATTTATTTTAATAGAATTAGATAAAGTAAAATTTTAGGTTGCTAAGTCATAAAAAATCTAAAATTCAAATTCTTTTTCAGTATAAATATTTATAGCTAGAACATAGCGGTTATCAATTGAGTCCATTTTAGTCAAAGAGTTTACAGAGATCATATTTATGAATGTTTTTGAAATTCTTGATCCGTTTTTAATATCCCAAATTGATATTAAATTATCACTTCCTATGACGAATATGGAGCTGTTTACATTAAATACTTAAAGATCTCTTGCTTGTAGTTTCATATTTTTTATAAGATTGAGATCATTTCTATTATACATAGAAAGTTAATCTTCTTTTTAAATTATATAGTAATCATCTTAATATATGAAAAAGTCTTTTGTAGAAGTATTATCTTTCAAATATTACTAAGTTTTTTTTTGGATGGAACATTTTAATTAGCTTTAGCATAGGTTGCTTTATTAATTTCTATAGCTAAAAGCACTGCATATAGCTACGCACCTGCTATCTAATATGTTGCTATTATTTTACCTCTAGTCAAAAAATAAATTATTACTACATTTAGTATAGATGCAAAGATTATTTTTTAAATCCAACTCGAAACCTTCTAAGCATTTAGTGCAAGTATTTTAGTTATTACTATTAAGGCAAGTTTAGCATCCTTCAGCGCATTAATTTTATGCTTCAACACTCAATTAGATAACTAAAAAGACAATGTAGCTCTTTAGTATTGCTGATTTAATTACCATCTGATACTCCTAATTAATTAATAACTTATGTCTATTTTGAGGACAATCAAATTTTGTAAGTGATTTGTAATAAGCCTTTTTAATCAAATATTTGAAAATTTATTTATCTGTTTTTCTCTCTCTTTTTATCTGTTTATTGTTTTCTATTTTTTTTAATTATCATCCTAATTTTGGCAAGCAGCTTTTTATAATGAAATAATTTTGAAATTTTTGTATTCTTATTTAATAGATAAGTTCATTTTTTTGAGGAAAAACAGGGTTATTTTTTGATTTGATAATTAACTTCCAACCAAACTTAACTTTTTTCATTAGGATGTAAAATAATATAAATTACCACACATTTTATTTGTTTTGTTTTGTTTGTTTGTTTGTTTGTTTGTTTGATTGGTTTGGATGGTAAATTAAGAAATATTATTGTTTACAATTGAGGGAGTAAAATTAGTTTTGTCATAACTTCAGATTGTAAATTCTATTTTAAATTTTTTTATTCTAATATATAAAGACAAGAAAAAATATTTAAAAGAAAACAAAAATTACTGGTTAAATCATATATTTATTAAATATTTAAAAAAATCAGCGCTTTCTGTATTTTTCAAACTGTAACTTCCTCTATAGTTCAAACTAATAAATCTTTAAACAATTTTAATATAAATAATGTTATATTTTAAAAAATAAATAAAACATATTTATATAATTTTTTAAAAATTAAATATTTAATCATTTAATTTTATAAACAAGTACAACTCCTAAAATAATTATTATTTTATCTTTTAATTATGAGATTAATAATAAAAAATTTAGCATATATATTACATATTTTAATAAAATGTCTAATAATTTTTAATTTATTTCATTTTATGTCAAAGCTAAAAATATGAAAAAGCTTATTGAAATAAAAATTTTAGTTTATATGTTTTTCCTAGCAATGCCTTTTTTCAAAGGATAAGATTATATACTATGTGTTATAAATTCGTTTTATCTATTAATTTAAAAAAATGATTTTTCTTATTATTCAAATTTATTGATTAAATGTTTTTTTAATTACATTATTTAATCTACTATTAATATCAAATTTTAAACTTTTTTATATAAAAACTCTTTAAATGTTGCTATATGTAAATTTTTTACACAAAAATCTAAATATTTTAATGAATTAAATAAATTTGTTTTAATTACAAAGAAGAAAAAATTAAATATGTAAAAAACCTATAGAAAAGCACTATATTTTTAATATAAACTTCTAAGATTCTTTTAAATAATTTTATTTGCTAAGTTAAACAAAGTATTTTTAAATATTAAAAAAAGATATTTATATTACTAACAAAACACTAAAAAAATTATAAAGTTTTAAAAAATATGTATATCTGCTTAAATAATTAAAAGTCAATTAATTAATTCTTTTTATATTTAATCTCTTATGAGTACTTGCTGAGAGCTGTCCATGCCCATGCTCAATTACTTGTAAATCTTATTATTAGCTTCTTTTATAACCTTCTTTTTATATATAAAATAAGTAAATAAATTTATTTTTTATCTATAATTAATTTACTTTTTTAGGGTTGGTTTTTCTTTGCTTGAATTATTATTTTTCACGCTTTTCTAATTATGTTTTAGCCTTTTAAAATATTTAATAACTTTTTTTAATTTTTTATTATACTATTTTCCATTTCATATATGTCTTATGTTAAACTTTATTAAAATTAATTAATTTCTTCAGTTTTTAAGGCATGATTTTTGAGATACATTTTTTAAAAATAAGTACATATTAAGAAGTCGAGTTATTAATCATAATTCCTAACACTATTATCAAATAGGCATAAAAAAAAAATTAATCTGCTATTATTTATAAAATTTCTATATATGTTTGAGCTTATGGGTTTTTTATTTAAATGAACCAAAAATATAGCTTAAAAAAAATAAGAGAGTATGCTACTATTTCGCATCTTTAGATGTTTATCGAAATGAAGGGATTATTTTGTGATAGTGTTTTTAAATAGTAGAATAAAACTACACTAATTGTTAAGATAGCAACTATCTAGTTATTATTATTTAAAAGAGTGTACAGGTAAATAATAACAATCTTTAAATAGATTCTAACGAATTCCCAATAGTAATATTTGGGCTTTAGTTCTCCGTAGTAATAACCGTACTTATATTTAATTAGGCATTGATCTAATTTATTCTTATTTTAGTTAATCAGCTTAAGAAATACTAAAGGAAGGAGACTCCAAAAAATCAACACCATAACAGAGAAAGGGTATAAATATTTAATTACATTTGTATCATAGCAATCAAATGAAGGATCTATTGGGTTATAAAGTTATGTTCCTACTTAATTACAAGTCAGAGATTTAGTAAAATATGATATCTGGCTCACTTAGAAAAAGACAAAAATAATATGAAAAATTAAATAACAGTGATATTCTCTTAATTTCTATTTTGATAAGTCTTCATAAATCTTAAGTGTAATTGGAATAAAAATAAGTACTAAAACAGGGATCAAAAATTAAATTTATGTATAAAAGAGTATCTTACCTAAACTTCTAATATTTTATTCACTCACAAGACAATCTATTCCTAAAGAAACTTGAATACCACCTGAACCAATTACTTCATTAAACAAATTCAAATTGATTGAAATATTCTTTGGTTATGGAATTAAAAGAGCAGATAATTAATAATAGTTCAGAATAATTTTAATGTAGAATCCAGAATAGTCCTATATGCTACTGCTACTAATAGGCATAATCTTCAACATTCTCAAATAATAACATGTTTGGGTATATTTGAACTTTTTGATGAAAACTCCCAATACATACAAGAAGTAAGCTTCTAAAATTATGAATTTTAAAATCATAAAAACCCATTATTTAAACTGTGATTCACAAATACCACAAACTCCTCTCTTGAGAGATTCTGAATATCGGGAACCTTTCCATATTTCTCCTAAAATATCGCATTACTAGCAAATAGGTCCTAAATAACCAGTTATGCAGTAATTAATACTATTAGGGTTTTCTGCTTGACATGAATTTATAATAGGATCACATGCTATTATTTCATCTGTTTAATTACTTTGCCTCCAAAAACCATTTTTTAATTATATCATATCTCCTTTGCAGCTAATAGCAGATTGAGGACAGTTTATGCATTGGTTTATATCTTTCTTTTCTTCTATAGATTATCTATACAGTGTTTGTGGATCGTTTATCTGATAAGTACCTTCCAAACATTCGTTGCATTAATAAATATTGGTATTTATTTATTAAATGATTTCCCCTAATTTGCAGTTTCTGAATTCAATTGATAAGAGAATTGGTTTTTTAGTAATTGAGTTTGTTTGAATAGTTGAATTTATATAAAAGAATTGAATTTTATTTAGGTTTCCAGTAATCTTTAAATCGTTAATTTTAAAAGCGAATTCTTAAGAATCATATTCATTGTAATTAATAATATTTTATCCAAACATTTAGCTTTCGTTTTAACTGAGCTAAAAAATAGAAATTTAAATATTATTTAGCTCTTAAGCTATATCTTTTGGGTATAGGCCTAGTATTAGTTTATCTTTTTAGAAGCTTAGTAATCTATTTTACTCATCTACAATATATATTTTAAAGTTAATTAGTCCTCCACTTCTGAATTATCTTAATTCAGCATATCTTGAAAATTCATTCTAAAAATTTATAGGGACACTACTTTAATATTTGTAAAATGTGAATAGTTCATCATTTATTTTATCGTTATTTTTAATAATAATATTTTATAGATATGATGTACTATCATCTCCATAAATTTCTGCCTGGTTATCAAATACATTTTCATAGAATGGAAAATTTTAAGGTAAAGTTAGTGTACTTTGATCATCTTAAACAATCCTTAATCCTCCTCCAATCAATGCTCTATTGTTTCTAACTATTGTTAATTTATCAAATATGACTAAACAATCTTTAATATTTTCAAAGTATAGAGCTCCTCCGCTGCTTTTTGCGTTATTTAGTTAGAATTTAGATTCTTTAAATTCTATCTTTGTTAGAATCTCTGAAAAGTGAATAGCTCCTCCATTTTATGCTGAGTTAAATTAAAAATTACCTAGTTAAATTTTAATTTTTTTAGATTAGGTTATAAAAAGAGATCCTTCGTTTCTAATATAAGTAAAATTATTAAATTAAACATTTGAACTTTAAATCAGCATTATTTTTTGTGATAAATATTAATTTTTCTCAATTATGAAATTCTTTAAAATTAAATTATCATCCTTTAATTCTATTTGTTAGCTTAGAAACAAATATTAATTCGTAGAAAATATTAAAAGCAATTAATTATTATATCCAAACAAGCATCTAATTAGAGTTATTGAGTTACATCCATAAAATGAAAATATTCCTCCTATATTTTACTAAATTTATATTGATTGAATATTATCTTTAATTATTAAATTTTAAAGTGTTAGATTTTAGATTTATTAAAAGCTCATTAAACTGTTCAAGTTAGTGTTTTTTACCATAGTAACCTCATTAATTAAAATATTATTTATTAATTTAAATTAGAATATTGGTATCTAAGATTCCTAATAAAAATCATTGTATGATATTTCTAGATTGTAAATATAAATTTCTGACACATTTTAAAAAAAGAACAATGAATTTTGCTGAATGAAGTTTGAGCATTCTTTAAGATGGAGCTAAGATATTTTAACATTTTAAAGAACTACCTTCTGAATGTCAGATATATATATCTGATTAGTGCCAAAGCATGCAAATTCTATTACCATATTTTAGAATATAATTTGCTGAGTTTTTTAGTTTTATGTGACATTGATAAATAAGTTTGTATTATTTTAGAAGGTTAAACTAAAGTTACTAAATTGTAGGATTTATTAGCTCAAATTTGAAAAAGTATCATTTGAAAGAGCTATAAAATTATTTTAGATGTCATAGGGTGCAAGAACATATTGAGTATTTTTTAATTGAGAAATTTATAGAAATGTATTCTATATATTAGCACTTGGTAATTGTAAGTGTAAGTAGATAAACAGATTTTCTTAATCGACTAAAGAAGCTCCATTTATTGTTTGAATCTCCTTTTATTATGGAGTTATTTATGATGATTGTAATATAAGATTTTATTATTCTTAACTTGAGATAAAAAAAGAGCATTCAGATATAGTTTCTGACTTGTAAATATTTAAATTATAACTATTTTCAAAAATTCCACTTTTATGTAGGACTACAATATGGAATGTATTTTTTTCATAATCAAGTTAAGAGCTTAACATTCTAGGATACTAAGAGGTAATTTAAGCTATCATATTGAATTTGTCTCCATTAGCAATAAAAAGTTCAAATCTATCAATTAAAAATAGTGCTAAAATATTGTTTTCAATTAATTTGAAATCTATTATACTATCTTAAATAAAATCTTTTTTGATAAATGCTACAAATTCAATTTTAGCACTAAGTCTATAGAAGTTAATTTAATAGATACTCTTGATAAATAAGTAATTTTGGGTTATTCCTAAAGTAGAGTATTTTTTATGAAGAGGCAAGTTCCGTTCTTATTAATTATTATTGTAATTATAGACATATACTTTTTTCTACTTATTAAAACAAAATATATATCTTTTATAAGTCTGATCAATTAAGAATTATGATAAACTTAAGTTAGGATCTTCCGTAACTAAAACTTTTAAGTCTATTTATGAAATAACTTTTTTATTCAATGTGTCGATTTAAAAAAGAAGTCCTCCATTTGAAGCAGCATAAGCGAATTAATTAGTAGCAGATATTTCAATTAGTTAAATTTTTATAATTGAAATGTTAAAAGGACCCTTTTAAGAAGTATCGTATAAAAAATATACTTAGTCTATTAAGTTGTATTAAAGTATTTAGCCATCGCTAAATCCTACAATTATTAAATCTTTATTATCATTTACATTGAATGAAGTTACTATTTAAGTTATATTAAAATTAATTATTTTAATGATAGAACCTGTTAATATATCTAAATGCAAAATCTTTTGATCTAAAGTAATTACAACACTATCAATTATAAACTACTAAAAATTGATCATTTCTAGTGATTAAATAACAGAATTTAAGTTATTATTTATTCTTGATTAATACTATTGATAGAAAAAAAGAGATTCTTCCAAAGCTAATATAAATACATCATTACTTTAATTGTATTTTATATCTAAGACCTTTGATTTAATAATAGATAACTCAGATTTTAATTTATTTTATGAATATCTAAAAACTATGCTATCTTCAGCCAAAACGAAATAATCAGTCTATAATTTATTAATCTGTATTTACGTAAACAAACTGTATGGCTCATTTAGAGAGGGCTCACGTTCTAAACCTAAGGAGCTATAATCTAGTTAGTATATAGAATCACTATATCTTATATAAACATCGTTAGATAAACTATCATAGCTAATAAATTCAAATAAGGTGAAATCACAACTGTAACATACATTAACAAAGTTTTGAAAAGGTTAATTAATATCTATTGAAGACAGATAAAATGTTCCTTGACTATCAATAAGCATTACATATCTACTTTAACTTTCATCAAACTATAAGTAAGTAATGTTATTATTATTTTATTAATTTTAGTTCACTTGAATTTAATAAATAATTTTTTCTGCAGAAATATCATATATCGAAATTTTGGAGAGATCGTCATCATATTACAAGAGTAAATAATTTAAGTGACTAACAAAAATAAACTTCTTTATTTTAACAATATTATCTTCTCCAGTCAAAACTTAATTGAAGGTTAAATTGGCCCTGTCAATTAAAATTAAACCTATTTATTAAATAAGAATACTTTTAAAAAAATTAAAATAATAAGTAGTTTTGGAAACATAAGTTAGAAATAAAAATTTTTAATTCAAAGAGGGGATGAAAAATATGATATCTCTTAAAATAATTTTTTATTTTGTTTTATATTTTTAATGGAATCCAAACACATTGATTTTTCATTTGCATATTGCTTAAATTAAGTTCAAAAAAAAATAAAATTTTATTTACCTATTTCTAATTAGCAGACCAGCTTAATTGTAAATATCATACAATTACTTACTTTTTTTTGAATTACCTATTTCAAAACTCCAATAGAGCTGAATATTTTAACTTAATTTGGTGTGTTCTTATCATTCTGATAGATATAAATATTTTCATATATTTCATCAAAAATATATTGAATTTATTAAGCAATATCAATTTATTTTATTTCAGAGATATTTTAAGTTCTATAATATACTAAAAACTCTTTAAAACCAGAAACAAATCTATTTAAGCATACAATTTGAAACTTAAAATCTGTACAGTCAAAATCTTTTAATTACTGATTATCAATTTAAATATCATAAACTATATTGAGCTGAGTATCTAGGATTTGGAAGAAATTTCCATATAAATATATTAGTTTATCATTTCTTATGAATTTAGCACTATTAATAATCTACTTAGGATAGTTTTTGATAAATTTTTCTTTTGAGAGAGTATTTATTAAAATAAGCTAGTTATTATTCAATAAAATTAAAAACTCATCATATACTTTGATTTCTAGGTAGTCTGTAGGATTTTCAAAAGAAATTATAATTTCTTAAAGGCCAGTATAAATATCAATAGACATTAATTATTATTTTAGTAAAGTGAACAATTTACCAAATTATTTACTAAATGTTGCTTTTTTTAAATTTTTATCGGATATCAATTTTCTATTTTTTTAAATTTAAATATAAAAAGGGTGGATATCTCTTTGTATTGTTATATCAGCGAGAAAAAACTTTACGAAATCAGTTTTTGTGTTTTAAAAATTCTAATAATTAAATGATAAAAAAGCTTAACTTTTAATTTAATTTACAGTTAGAACAATTATCATTTTTCTATCCAAATCAACTATATATTCTTCTAATGAGTTATCAAGAAAAATTACTCCATAATAATATGTTTTTCCTTATTCATTTACTCTTTTCTCAACTTGATCAAAAAAAAGAATAGTTTTGACTATATAATAATTACCATCTTTAATGTTTATAAATAGAAGTCCTTCATTGCCTTATAGTACATAAATTTACTTATCATTAACGACTCGATTTATTTATTTTATTCCTGTAAAGCCTTTTAAGTTTAATTTTAATATCTAAGATAAAGTAGAATTATAAACTTTAAAAATATTTGATTTATCTATAACGGCTATTTATTCTATAGAATAATTATCATTTATTTCATCCTGGTAAGAAGAGAATGCTTTAATGAGAAATATTTATTTGAGGTTATTTATTGTAATTATCTCCTTAAATGTCTAACTATTGAAATTTATTTAATAAAGAGACATCTGCAATTACGTGTTTCTAATTAGTAACATTTTTGAATCCTTATATAGATAAATAGCTTGTGGTTAATATTAAAATCCACATTTATCAAACAAACTTTAAAACTCTGAAGAAAAAATCTTTAAACATTGATTTTAATAAAAACCTATCAACATGTTATTATAAACAAATAATGGAAGGAATGTATATGGAAGTAAATTAATTATTTTATTCGAAAAAATATCAAGTATGTAACTTCTCTCATTTATATAAATTATTTTATTGCTGAAAAAATATTAATATCTTCCATCAATAATTCTAAATTATTTTTATAATTAGCATTTAGTCTCTTATGAACAATCATATAAATTTGTCTAATTACTATAAGGAAACGAAACAATAAGAGGTGGCAAATTATTAAACTAAGCTATATTTATGTATTAAGGAAATTTTCTTTTTCTTTCTTAGTATGGAGTGGGAAATTTTAAATTAAAATTGGTAATTACATCAATTTTTATTGATTATTTTTATTATTCTAAAAAACCTTAATTTTAGATTATTTAAATTCTGTTTCTACTTTTACTTATTAATTATTAAATTAATTCTTTCTGTGTTGAGCTTTAATTTTGATATTTTATAAGAAACAAATCAGTTCCTGAATTATCCTATTAAAAAGTCTTGTCATTTTTAATAAATTACTGCGTGCTTGAATCAAAGTAAAAAACTAGTAACTCATTATTATCAAAAAGCACAATTATTTATTTTTCTTTTCCCCACAAATTATAGACCTCCAAGTCTATAGTAAAAACAGCTAAACTAAATTTAATAGTATTTAAAGTGTTTGTTTGCAGATTAAAGTAAATCAAATAATTATCAGTAAGAAATATCAAATATTCACTCAAATTAGTATCTTAAAATTACAAAATTTTACTTCTTTTAATAAATTGACGATCTTCCATTTATATTTCAATATACTTGTAAGAATTATTGATTAAGTTAATTAAATAAACTGATTTCTCCTAAACTAAAACATAGATTCCAAGCTAAGATGTTGATAGAACATTAAAATACTCACCTTTCTTCTCAGCTTAAAATATAAAATGATCTTGAATTTGTAAATTTAAGATATTGTTGGAATTCAATATGATTATTTTTTTAACAATTACGCTATTTGAATTTTAGGTAAACAACCACTAATCAATAAATTTCGAGTATTTAATTATTTCGCTTATTGTAAAAGAATTAGACAGAGAAAATATTTAATTTGATAAGTCATAAAATATCTGAAATACATATCCTTTTTCAGAGTTAGCATTAAAAACCATTACATAATGATTATCAATAGAAGTCATCTAAGTGAGGGAATCAACATGAATAAGATTTGTCGATATTATTTCTGTTTTAAATTCTTTTATAATATCCCAAGTTGATATAGAGTTATTGCTTTGGATTAAGAAAATAATTGAATTTATATAAAATGCATTGAGATCTTTTGCTTAAAAGTTTAAATTTTTTATTAGATTTAAACTATTTCTATCATAAATAGACATCGATGTTTCTTTTTAAACCACATAATAATTATCTTGATATATAAAAAAGTCTTTTGTCTAAGTAATATCATTTATATATTGTTGTGTAGGTTTTTAAACAGAACATTTTAACTTACTTTAGCATATATTGCTCTATAAATTTTTATAGCTAAAAGCGCTACAAATAGCTACACACCCGCCTTCTAAGCTGTTAACATCATATTAATTCTTGTCATAAAACAAATTACTGCTACATTTAGAGTAAACGCATAGATTATTATTTGAATCTAACTTATAATCATCTAAACATTTAATGCATGTATTTTAGCTATTGCTGATATTGCAGCTTGAGCATCCTTCTATGCACGCAGTGTACGCTTTGATGTAAAATTAGATAAATAAAAATGCTAAAAAGCATTTTTCAGCTCGTGATTTAGTTATCATTTGGCAATATTCTTAATTTAGCTTTTAGTTAAAGCTTGCTTTGAAAGTCAATATTTGAGTTAATATTAATGTTAAATCTATCTATTCAAAATAATTATCTACTATCTCTCTTTCTAAATTTTTGTCTTTCTACTTATTAATTTTATTTAATTAAAATCTTATCTAAATAAGTTAATCTAAATTGCTTTTAATTTTTAAACATTAGATTTTATTTGCTTGACTAATTCAATTTTTAGAGGAAAAACAAAGTCAAATATATATCAAAGATTTTTGTTTTGTATAAAAAATAAAATAAAAATTTCAAACTATCTTCTATCAATTTATAAAGAAAAAAAACTCATATTTGATTATTAAAGTAAAAACAAGAAAACTAACTTATCATTTTAATACCTAAAAGATTATTTAATAAATTCAATAAATATATTTGACTTTATTAAAATGAGCTATATGTATGTGATATATTGATTATTTTTTTCAAAATGCTACAATTGATTGATATGATAAATTTATGTAAAAAATATTTTATAAAAATTGTAGAGTTTATTCTTGTTCTTCATCGTTAAAAACAAAGTAAAAAAAAATTTTTTTATGTCTTTAAAGTTGTTAAAAATTTCCATTTAGATACCTTTTTTTATTATTCTACGGAATTTTTTTTTTACTCAAGAAATAATAATACACATATATAAATAACTATATTTCATAAAAATTGATTTAAATTTTTTAAAACATATAAAATCATAAATTTATATATTTAATTTTAACATCCATTTAAAAAAAATCAATTAAATTACTTAAGCGCTTCCAATTATTGTGTAGCAATGCCACAAAAATTTTAATTAGTGCTATTATTAATAAAAAGGACTAATAGGACTAGAAATTTAGAATTATTTAACTATTCCGATTATTACTGAACTAAAACAGAAAAATCTACTTATAAATATTATTATTTAGGAAATTAATTACTAAAATTTTTTCAAATATAACTAACTATCCATCTCTAATTCCTACTATATTTTTAAGTATATGTTTAAATACAAATGCTAAGATTAAATAATGATTTTGAAATTAATTTTTTGTGATATCGCTTCATAAAAGCAAATTTATAAATTAATATTTGATAATTATTATATTTTATTTGTTCTTTTTATCCATTTAAAATTAATTAATTAAAAATAAATGATATAATAGATTAAATATTACAACAAATTAGAAGAGGTAATAATTTATTTTTTAAGAATATCCTTAAAATTTATTTTTATTTCATAAAAAGTTTTTAAACTCTCCACTTTAATCTCAATAGGTTCTCCATATTAATTTGAAGTATATTAAATTTATAAATATTAATTTTATTATAATTAATATTTTTTATTTATTTTATTTTCAATTTATTTAAAAAAATAATTCTTCTTATAGAAATTATCATCATTATTCATTAATTTTAACTTATACAAAAGTTTTTTAGCTATTTTAACTTAATTTTCATTTCAAATTTTTAATTATTTATTATTCATTTTTTATTATTTAATATTTTTTCTTCATTTTTTGCTATTAACATTTATATAAAAAAAGTTTATTTGTTTTGGATTGTGATATTTTTAATTATAAAAATTAGTTTAAAATTTAAAACTCTTTTTATTTTTATCATTTTTTTTTCTTTTTCTTTTTATTGTGTTTTTTTCTTCTTCTTTTTTTATTAATTTAACTCATATTTTATTTTCAACTTTTGCTTTTGTTATTAATTAATCTTATTATAACATATTTTTCTTCATTTTTTCCTTCCAATTTACTAATTAGTTATATATTTTTTCTCCAATATTTAAAAAGTGGTAATTAAATTGGAGCAATGGGTGCATCATACTTAGTTTCATCTTTAGCAAAATGCATCAATCTCTCAAATTTGACACTTGATCTTTGGTAAAAAAGATTATTTGTTTTGGATTGTGATATTTTTAATTATAAAAATTAATTTAAAATTTAAAGCTCTTTTTATTTTTATCATTTTTTTTTCTTTTTATTGTGTTTTTTTCTTCTTCTTTTTTTATTAATTTAACTCATATTTTATTTTCAACTTTTGCTTTTGTTATTAATTAATCTTATTATAACATATTTTTCTTCATTTTTTCCTTCCAATTTACAAATTAGTTATATATTTTTTCTCCAATATTTAAAAAGTGGTAATTAAATTGGAGCAATAGGCGCATCAGACTTAGGTTCTGGTTTAGCCAAGTGCATTAATCTCTCAAAATTGGCACTTTAACTTGGGTAAAAAGAGTTTATTTATTATGGATTGTGATATTTTTAATTATAAAAACTAATTTAAACACTTTGAAGCCCTTATTATCTATTTTTTTTTCTTTTTTTTATTGTGCTTGCTTTTTTTCTTCTTTCTTTGTTAATTTAACTTGTTATTTTATTTTCAAAATTTGGTTTTATATTTAATTAATTTTATTATTTCATAATTCTCATAATTTTTTCCTTCTAATTAACTTATTAATTATATATTTTTTCTCAAATATTTAAAAAGCTGTAATTAAATTGGTGCAATGGGTGCATCATACTTAGTTTCAGCTTTAGCAAAATGCATCAATCTCTCAAATTTGACACTTGATCTTTGGTAAAAAAGATTATTTGTTTTGGATAGTGATATTTTTAATTTTTAAAACTAATTTAAAAAAAGCTCTTTTAATTTAATTGATTTCTATTTCTTTTTATCCTGCTTGCTTTTTTTCTTCTTTGTTTTTTAATTTAACTCTTTATTTTATTTTCAACTTTTACTTATATTATTAATTAATCTTAATTTAACTTATTTTCTCTTTATTTTTTCCTTTTAATTAACTGATTTATATTATAATTTTTCTTCAATATTTAAAAAGTTCCAATTAAATTGGCGATCAAGGTGAATCAGAATTAGGCTCTGCTTTAGGAAAGTGCATTAATCTCTCAAATTTGACTCTTTAACTTGGGTAAAAAAAGTTTATTTGTTTTATTATTTGATATTTTTCCATCTAATTAACTAATTAATTATAAATATTTTCTTCAATATTTAAAAAGCTCTAATTAAATTGATGATAAAGGTTTATAAAGTTTATGTCATGATTTATCAAAGTGCATTAATCTCTCAAATTTGACACTTTACCTTAAGTAAATAAAGTTTATTTGTTTTGGATTGTGATATTTTTAATTATAAAAACTAATTTAAAACGTAAAAGTCTTTTAATTTATATATTGATTTATTTTTCTTTTTCGTTTTATTGTGATATAAATGATAATTAGAACACGAACTTACTAGAATAGTAACCGAATAAGTTAAATTTTCACATATTTCACAGAAATACAAGTAAATTTGACAAAATGGGTAATTATTATAGTGAGTTCGTGTTCTTATTATCCTTCATATATTGTATTTACTTTTTTTTTTTCTTCTTTTTTTATTAATTTTACTCATTATTTTATTTTCAACTTTTGCTTTTATTATTAATTAATATTATTATTTCATATTTTTTCTTCATTTTTTCAGACGAATTAACTTATTAATCATATATTTTTACTCCAATATTTAAAAAGTCATAATTAAATTGGCGATGAAGGTACATCAGACTTAGGTTCTGCTTTAGCAAAGTGCATCAATCTCTAAAATTTGACACTTAACCTTTTGTAAAAAGAGTTTATTTATTTTGGATTGTGATATTTTTAATTATAAAAACTAATTTAAATCATTAAAGCTCTTTTAATTTATTTTCTTTTTCTTTTTATGCTTGCTATTTTTCTTCTTTCTTTTTTAATTTAATTCATTATTTTATTTTCAACTTTTCCTTTTATTATTATTATTATTATAATATGTTTTTTCTTCATTTTTTCTTCTAATTAACTAATTAATTATATATTTTTTCTACAATAAGTGGTAATTAAATTGGTGCAATTGGTGCATCAATCTTAGGTTTAGGTTTAGAAAAGTGCATTAGTCTCTCAAATTTGATACTTGAACTTGGGTAAAAAGCGTTTATTTATTATGGATTGTGATAATTTTAATTATGAAAATTAATTTAAAACAATAAAGCTCTTTAAATTTATTTGATTTATTTTCCTTTTCTTTTTATTGTGGTTATTTTTTTTCTTCTTTGTTTGTTAATTTAACTCATTTTTTATTTTTACCTTTTCCTTTTATTATTAATTAATTAATCTTATTATAACATATTTTTTCTTCATTTTTTCCTTCTAATTAACTAATTAATTTTTATTTTCTCCCTCCAATATTTAAAAAGTTACAATTAAATTGGTGAAATGGGCGCATCAGGCTTAGGTTCTGCTTTAGGAAAGTGCTTTAATCTCTCAAATTTGACACTCTCCCTTAGGTAAAAAGAGTTTATTTATTTTGGATTGTGATATTATTAATTATAAAAACTAATTTAATTAAATCTTTAATAAGTTTATTTGAGTTGTTTTTCTTTTTATATATATTCTTACTTTTTTTTCTTCTTTCTTTGTTAATTTAACTAACTAATTATTTTATTTTCAAATTTTGTTTTTATTATTAATAAATATTATTATTTCATAATTTCTCTTCATTTTCTCCTTTTAATTAAGTAATTAATTATATATTTTTTCTTCAATATTTAAAAAGTTCCAATTAAATTAGTGCAATGGGTGCATCATAATTAGGTTTTTGTTTAGGAAAGTGCATTAATCTCTCAAAATTGACACTTAGCCTTGGGTAAAAGCAGTTTGTTTGTTTTGGATTGTGATATTTTTAATTATAAAAACTCATTTAAAACATAAAAGCTCTTTAAATTTAACTGGTTTGTTTTTTCTTTTTTATTTCGAATTGCTTTTTTTTCTTCTTTCTATGATAATTTAACTAATTATTTTATTTTCAACTTTTCTTTTTATTATTAATTAATCTTATTATAACATATTTTTATTTATTTTTTCCTTCTAATTAACTAATTAATAATATATTTTTTCTTCAATATTTAAAAAGTGGTAATTAAATTGGTGCAATAGGTGTATCAGACTTAGGTTCTGGTTTAGCAAATTGTATTAATCTCTCAAATTTGAAACTTTAACTTGTGTAAAAAGAGGTTATTTTATTTTGGCTTGTGATATTTTTAATTATAAAAACTAATTTAAAACTTTTCTTTTTCTTTTTATGTGCTTGTTTTTATTTGTTCTTTCTTTGTTAATTTAACTCATTATTTTATTTTCAACTTTTACTTTTATAATTAATTAATTTTATTATAACATATTTTTTCTTCATTTTTTCCTTCTAATTAACTATTTTTTACCCAATATTAAAAAAGTTAGAATTAAATTGGTGAAATAGGTACATTAGACTTAGGTTCTGGTTTAGCAAAGTGCATTAATCTCTCAAATTTGACACTTAACCTTAGGTAAAAAGAGTTTACTTGTTTTGGATTGTTTTATTTTTTGATAGTTTTTTTATTTTTTTTATCTTTTTTATTCACCAATATTATTTTATTTATTAATTTAACAAATAACTTTTATTTAAAAATCTATTTTATTTAGTATTTATTTAAAATTTACACTAATTTATAATAAAAGTCGCAACGACATAAATGAATCATAAAAATTAAAAGTAAAAAGCTAGTGTTTTAAATCCAAAAGATTAGTTGCCTTTGAAATAAAATTCTTCTGATGGTAAAAACTTAGAGAAAAAAGGATGAACAAATAATAAATGTTTGAATAATTGAAAAAAATATGTTTTATTATATAAAATTTTGAATAGTTTTTTTAACATAAGACAAAGATTGATAGAATTTATTAACGTTTTTATATTTATAAATATTATATTTTTGTAAGTTAAATTATAGCTTATAAAAAACAAAAAATTTTAAAAATTAAATTTACTTAAATAAATTAATTCCTTAAAAAATACATACCTCATATGCAAATATACAAATCGAATATAGCAAAAAGAAGAATGGAAAAAAAACAAATAACCAATATCATATTTTTCATGTTTGAAAATTTGAAGAAAAAAAATGTAATAGCAGAAATTAGGGTAATTAATTTAATTGGGTCTGTGCTCCTAATATCATATTTCTGGTTATTTAGCATAATCTTTTAAGAGTAATTACTGAGAATTCTTGTAACTTTGATAGGACAAATACTTATTTTTATCCTCAAGAATTGTTAGGACATTATTTTAATTTACTTTTTTAAAATCAAATTTTGTTTATTTTAATTATTTATTATGTTTTACTTATTATTTTATAGTTTTTTAAAATAATTTATAGGATTTTTTAAATTTTTTTAAAACACGCTTCCATTTCAAATATGTTTTAAATGAAACTTTATTAAAATTGATCATTTTTTTTAATTTTTAAGGCATAATTTTTGAGAGACATTTTTTAAAAATAATTACATATTTAGAAGTCGAGTTGCTAATCATTATTCCTAACACAATTATCAAATAGCAAAAAATGAAGAAATAATCTACTATTATTTGAGAAATTTCTATAAAGATTTGAGCTGATGGAATTTAAATTTATATAAACCTTAAATATATTTTCAAAAATATAAGAGAGTAAGCTGCTTTTTCGCATTATTGTATGTTTATTGAAATAAAAGGATTATTTTGTGAAACTATCTTTATATAAAAAAATAAGACTATACTTATTGTTACTATTGCAATTTCTTGGTTATTAGAATTATTTAAAAGAGTATACACGTAGATTATAGTAATTTTTAGATATATTCTAACAAATTCCCAATAATAGAACTTATCCTTTAGTTCTGCATAGTAATAGCCATATTTATATTTTGTCAGACATTAATTTAATTTTTTCTTGTTTAAATTAATCAGTTTTAGAAATGCTAAAGGAAGAAGAGTCCAAAAAATTAACACCATTACAGAAAAAGGATATAAATATTTAATTACATTAGAATCATAGCAGTCAAATGAAAGGTCTAATGAGTTATAAAGTTTGTTTCCTACTTGTTTACAGGTTAGTGATTAAATAAAATATGATATCTAGTTCACTTAGAAAAAGACAAAAATAATATGAAAAATTAAATAAATGTGATATTTTCTTATTTTCTATTTTGAAATGTCTTAATAAAACATAAGTGTAATAGGAATAAAAAGAAGAAAAACCATAGGGACGAAAAACTAAGTTAACATAAAATAGAGTATCTTGCCTATTCCTCTAATGATATTTTCACTCATAAGACAGTCAATTCCTAAGGAGACTTGGATACCACCGGATCCAATTACATCATTAAACAAATTAAAATGGACAGAAATAATCTTGGGCTGAGGAATTAAAAGAGCAGATAATTAATAATAGGTCAATATAATTTTAATATAGAATCCAGAATAGTCATTTATGCTATTACTGCTTATTGGCATAATTTTTAACATTCTCAAATAATAACATGTTTGTGAATGTTTAAATTTTTGGATGAAAACTCCCAAAGCATACAAGAAGTAGGCCTCTAAAATTACAATTTTTAAAAGCATAAAACCCCATTATTTAAGTTATGATCCACAAATATCACAAAATCCTTTTGAGAGAGATTGTGAATATCGGTAGCCTTACCAAACTTCACCTAAAATATCACACTATAGGCAAATAGGTCCTAGATACCCAGCTTTACAGTAATTGATGCTATTAGGGTTTTCTGCCTAGCATGAATTTATAATAGGATCACACTCTATTATTTCATCTGTGTAATTATTGTGCCTCCAAAAACCATTTTTTAATTCTATTATATCTCCTTTGCACATTAAAGCAGACTATGGGCAATTGATGCATTTATTGATATCTTTATTTTGTTAAATAGATTACTGATAAAGTGTTTATGGGTCTACTAGCTGATAAGTACCCTTCAAGCATTAATTGCATTAAAAAATGTTATTATTCACTTATTAAATGACCTCTCCTAATTTACAATTTCTGAATTCTATCGATAAAAGGATTGGTTATTTAGTAAGTGAGTTTGTTTATATAGTTGAATTAATATAAAAGAATTGAACTTTATTAAGATTTCCAATAACTGTTATTTCATTCATTTCAAATGAATAGTCGAGAGAATTATATTGAAAGTAATTTATAGTATTCTATCCAAACATTTAGCTTTCAGTAGAATTGAGCTAATAAATTGAAATTTAAATAGTATTTAACTCTTAATCTATATCTTTTGGATATAAGCCTAGTATTAGCTTTTCATTTGAGAAGCTCAGATATCTATTTTATTCATCTACAATATACATTTTAAAGTTAATTAGCCCTCCACTTCTGAATTATCTCAATTCAGCATATCTTGAATAGTCATTCTAAAATTTTTTAGGTACACTACTTTAATGTTAGTAAAATGTGAACGATTCTTCATTTGTATTATCATTGTTTTTAATAATTATATTTTAGAGATAAGATGTACTATCATCACCATAAATCTCTGCTTTATTTTCGAAAATATTGTTGGAGAATGGAAAATTTTAAGGCAATAAAAGCTTTTTTTAATTTGTCTAAACGATTCTTAATCCACCTCCTATTAATGCTTTATTATTCTTAATCATAGTCATCGTATCAAATTAAATTATACAGTTATCAATATTTTCAAGATATAATGCCCCTCCGCTGCTATTAGCAGTATTTTGCTAAAATAGGGATTCTTTAATGTATATCTTTGTCTTAATTGCTAAAAAGTGAATAGCTCCTCCATTTTATGCTGTATTCAATTTAAAATGACCTTTTTCGATAATAATTACTTAGGATTTGGTTAATAAAAGCGAACCTTCATTTTAAAATTGAGTAAAATTATTAAATTAAACTTTAGAACTTTAAATATTCATGATTTATTACTACAAAAATTTGTTTAACTCAACTTTAAAACTATTTAAAAATAAAATATCATCATTTAATTCTATAATTTTATTTTGGATGGAATATTCATTTGTAGAAAAAATTAGAACTAATTAGTTGTTAAATTGGAACAAACATTTCGTAAGAGTTATAGTATTACAACCATAAAATGAAAATAATCCTGAAACTTATTTTACTTGGATCGATTAAATATTATCTTTAATTGTTAGGTTATAGAGGGTTAGATTTTAAACTTACTAAAAACTCATCAAACTATTCAGATTAATATTTTATATCATAGTTACCCCATCAATTAGAATAGTTTTTATTAATTCAAATTAGAATATTGATATCTGAGATTTCTAATAAAAATTATTGTTTGATATTTCTAAGTTGTAAATATAAATTTCTGAGACATTGTAAAAATAGAACAAAGAATTTTACTGATTCTATTAGGAGCATTCTTTTAGGTTGAGCTAAGATATTTTAATATTTTAAAAAATTACTTTTTCAATGCCAGAAATATATATTTGATTAGTGCCAAAGCATGCAAAATCAATATCCATATTTTAAAAAATTATTTGTTGTGTTATTTTGTTTTAAGTGATGTTGATTAATAAGTCTGTATTATTTTAGAAGGTTAAACTAAAATTAGTAAACTGTAGAATTTATAAGCCAAGGGTTAAAAAAGTATCATTTGAGAGAGCTATAAAATTATTATCCACATCATAGGGAGCAATTACGTATTAACTATTTTTTTACTATGAAATTTATAGAAAAGTATTCTATATATCAGTGGTTGGTACTTGTATGTAGAAGTAGATTAGCTAATTTTCTTAATTGATTAAAGAAATTCCATTTATCGTTTGAATTTCTTTTTATTTAACTGCTACATTGGCTTACTCTTCAATAAGATTTTATTATTCTTAAATTGAGATTAAAAAAGAGCATTCAGATTTTGATTCTAGTTTGTAAATTTCTAAATTATAGCTATTTTCAAAAACTCCAGTTTTATGCAGGCCTAGTATGTGAAGTATATTTTTCTCAAATTGGTAGTTTAATATTCTAGGATATTAATAACTAATCTAAGCTATCATATTAAATTTATCTCCGTTAACGATAAGAAGTTCAAATCTATCTATTAAAAGAATACCGATGAGATTATCTATAAATAGCTTAATGTCTATTATAGTGTCTTTAAGAAAATCTTTTTTGACTAAAGCTACATATTCAATTTTAGTGCCAAGTCTATATAAATTAATTTAAAAACTGCATTAAACAAATAAAAAGTTTTGCTATATTATCAAGTTTGATTGACTTTTTGGTAAAGGTAAAATTTACTCTAATTAATTTTT